CCACCGACACATTCGTCAACAGACGAGGCGGCTCTGGGCCCTTTCCACCCCAACTTGGTCGGCAAACCACCTCCTCCTCGAAGGAGGTCATCCTTGTACTTGTACTAACTCTGCTGTGATCGTTTTAAGGGCGTCTACTCATTAGCTTTCCTTCAAGATAAGTCTAGCTTTACTTCCCACGCTAATTGGTCAGGAAGTATTGTAATCGCGATAATTTTCAGTGACCAGGAAAAAATTGCGTCAAGAAGGTTGACTGCACCTCCTACGCAACGCGGTCATCACTTTATAGAGGATTGACTCCGGCGCAATGTAAATCCTCTGAGAAAAAAGTCAGTTACGAACATGTACAACAGAGAAATTAAACGGATTAAACGGACCCATTACAATTAGTCCATGGACGTTATTTCCCTGCCCTACTGGTAGTTACTATCTATTTGGCAACGTTGTCCCTTTTCCACATTTGCGATGCATCGCTGCAGCGATTTTTTTATTTCGTGCGTGATTCGTGAAGAATACGCGGATCGCAAACATTTCTCTATCAGTATTTTTTAAAGGCAAATGTACGGGGAAATTTATAACGTATGAAATATGGCTAATAGGTGCATAGAATGACCGAGATTGGGAGCGTATAAATATATTAAGATCAAAAATGTACCCTACCCCAACCTGTAAAATCCTCAGCCCTTACAAAACATTTTCCGAAAATGAAAAGTCTAAAAACGAAGTTTGAGCGATTTTTATTATTGTTTGTCTTCGCCTCTATTCCGCCGCCACTAAACCGATTTCCAAAAACTGTAAAGCTTTTTTTTCCTTAGCATAGTTATAACCCTATAAATGTGAAGATTTCATCAAAATCCGAGCGGTACTTCTCAAGTTATTGAGGGGTCAATGATTATCGGACAGAAAACCGACGGAAATGACAGACATGGTTTTTTGGGATGTTCATGTGATATAACATCCAAAAAACATGATACCTATCACATTTTCGAAAATTTTCGAGATTACAATACTTCCTCGCCCAACTTGATTCTGATTTCATTCGTATTCTTTTGAAACTACATCAAACACTTTATTTATTAGCTTCGCCGAGCTCAAACTGTGATAATTTGTCACTTCCATGAATAAAGGTCACAACCATGGCATCATTGATTCTATGGTCGTGACTGTTATGGTTGAGACTATTCTCAACTGTGGCTTGCCTAACTTCAAAGCTGTTTAGTATATACTGTTAGTCAATTTACAGGAGTCATGGCAAAAACGTGCTACAATTAAATATAAATAATTACGTGGAAAGCTCGACCAAGCCAATCGAAAATAAGTGAGGTTGCTTCATCAAATCGGAATTGATGGCATTGGGATATCTACATGCAATTATCTAAAAACAAAACTGGACAGTGGTGATAATATCAGGTCAATTTTAACGCTGGTTATTTCTAACAAAATCCTCAGGGAATAGGCCTCAATTTATCTGATAATAACCCCCACGTCATAACAAAGAAATGTCAGTACCGTTATTAGAGAAAAATGTTTTACTAATGTTATACAGGATGATTAAAACAATAACACCAATAGGCCAGAATCGACATTAGATTTACATTAACGATGTTATGCGCATAGGCTCCGGTATACCTGTATACTTTATCTGAAGTCACTTGAAATAGCATAAAAACCTTTGGTCGGCGCGTCCTTTGTAATTTCATGACGTATCATAGGCGTGCGGTCATTTATTTAGAACGATATTAATAATGTTTTTATATCACAATAAATGGATTTTACTATCTTCTTATTTTTTTGATTTGGGATAAAAAATACTTATATTGGGAGTTTAATTTATGTTGACTGAAAGTTAAGAAATGGAAAAATTACAGAATTCCAACGTTTGACATAGGCAAATATTTACATAGCAGGTAGGTATATAAAAAGGTATATAAAGACTTACATTATAGGTATTTATATATCATCCTTGCCTTCGGAGCTGTTGCTAGAGTCATCTTGTAGAGGAATTACAACGGGATTTACAGGAGGCAAAACACAATATTTATTTTCTTTTTCAATAATATGCCTAGAACACTGCTTCCATAGGTCTGTGGCAGCAATATGAGATACTGCATCTCTTATTGTGGCCAATAGCGATTCACTTAATTGAGGGGTCTGATTATGTTTTCTTACTTTTTTTTTAAAGCAGCCCAGACCAACTCAATCGGGTTAAAAATGCAGTAATAGGGAGGCAGACGTAATACTTCATGGCCATTTTGCTGAAGCAGATTGTCAACAACATACTCTTTTTCAAATTTTTGTCTTTTAATAAGATCCAATAATATGGCTTTGGTTGATCTTTGTGGTATATAAAATCAATAATGTCTTGTTTTTTTGTGCCTGTATTCGGAATTTTGTTTTTCTGTCGGGAATGGTATGGCGCATTGTCCATAATAATAACTGAATTTGGGGAAATGTTTGGTATTAACTGCTGCTCTATCCACTTTTCAAATAAGTCGGAGGTCATGTCCTCATGATAGTCGGCACATGATTCTTTGATATTTTTGGCAGATAACAGCAAGGCATTAGGTATAAATCCATTTTCACTGCCAGCATGGAGAATAATGATTCGTTTTCCACGGTTGCATGGTGTATTTAAAATGCACTTGTTGCTGTCGTCAACCCAGCCGTACTGCACAACATCATGGGTATCATACCACGTTTCTCCCAGGTAAATCAGATTTCTTTTCTGCTCT